TCCCCCCGTGCCCCCGCCCCCCCCCCCCCCCCCGTCATGTCCATCCTCGTCCTCCGGGAGATTCTCATACACACATATAGTGCGGAAACTTGTATAAAACCCTTCGGGGTCGGAACATTCCCTTCATTTTGGAGGCATCGAGTTTCCGCCTCGTCAGTCTATTCCAGTGGACTTTACGACTTTGGGTGCGGGGGATGGGGGGTTACGAATGTTATAAGATTCATAGAAAGAGGAAAAATGAAAATTTGTGGGAACTGTCCTTGGGGATAATGTGGACATAATTGTCCCCGGTCTCAGATATTCGGCTTCTAGGTCTCCGTCGGAGGATCTCGGCGTCGGGATGCAAACTGGGGCAGGTTGTTGTTGGACCTGAAGGCCAGGAGGTCCCAGGCTGGTGTCCTCCACCCGCAAACCAACGTTCCGATAGAGCCCCTGACCTAGTACTTGGTGGTCGGCTTTGGATGACCGCGAGGAAAGGGGTCCACCTGGTTTACATGGACCGGAGTGCCATGCTCCTGTCGGAGGAGGACCAGTTGTGACATCCATGTGCACTTTGTGTGTCTCACATGTACTTCTGGGTGAAGGTTCCCCGAGTCCATGCCAATTGCCCGTGCCTGCAATGTGAGCATAACGTTCTACCTAGAACCAAGTCTTCCCTTTCTGTAGGGTTCCTCTTGGTTCCTCCCTCATGGTGGTCTGATGTGACTCTAGGTGGAATGACCTTTGCAGTCAAGGAGTCCAGTTTTCAAGGGACACCCAAATCTTTCAAAGCTGAGGAATGTTGGTGACCACATGTCTAGGAGTGTCAGCTTGGAATCCATGGTGAGAATCTTCCAGAACAGGAGAAGATGGGAGGGTTCTATGGTACAATTCTGTCACCCCCTCCCCCCACCCATGTCCATAATATTCTGCGACCAAAACCATCCGAATAATTCTCACTTTCATTTTCCAAAGTCATCCGTCTACAAGGAAGCCCCCAGAGATCACATGACTGAGCGGGTGAGGATGGAGGAGGACCGGAGTCACATGACAGAGAGGATACTGAACCTCACCCTGGAGATCATCTACCTGCTGACCGGAGAGGTGAGGAGGATTCTGGGAGGTCACATGACCTGACGGGGGAGGTGAGGGGGATTCTGGGAGGTCACATGACCGGAGGGGTGAGGGGGGATTCTGGGAGGTCACATGACCAGAGAGGTGAGGAGGATTCTGGGAGGTCACATGACCTGACGGGGGAGGTGAGGGGGTTCTGGGAGGTCACATGACCTGACCGGAGAGGTGAGGAGGATTCTGGGACTCTAACATGATGTTCCTATTGGTTTCTCCATCCAGAGTTTTCCTCTTCTGAAGTCTGGTGATCATGTGACCATCACAGTGCCCCCATGTGACTCCCTAAAACCCGAGAGACCCAACATGGAGAAGGTTCTAGAAGCCACCAAGAAGATGATGGAGCTGCTGACGGGAGAGGTGAGTGGTGCCGGGAATTCTGGGACATGATCCAGGAACAGACAAGGGGCGTGTCTGGGTGGTGACGGGAGAGGTGATCCCGGGACCCCACCCAGGAAGATCTCACCATCCCCCACCATGATCAGGTAGATGGGTCTGAAGGACACCGGGATCTCTACACGGACGTCGGGATGGAGAGTGAGCCGCCCCTCACATCACCGGGTAAGAGGAGACTACATGACCCAGTCCTGACCTCGGCACTCTGCTATATATAAACCTGATCTGCGTGCCCCTCCCCCCCGGGATATTTTCTATAGGCTGTTGTGATTGGAGGTCAGACTATCTCATGTCTATAATATTGTGGTGACACCCTCAGACATTGAATTCTGTAACAGGAAGTGAGGAAGAGAGGAGCGGCTTACCCTGGAGTCATGGAGTAGATAAGGAATTGTAGAACTTCTGGAGTTGGGAAGATGGCAATGAAAGATGGAAGGGGGCGGGGACTCTCACCCAGAATCCCCCATCATTGTCCCACCTCCTCATTGGTTCCCTCACTCTCTATGGTCCATGATTGGTAGAACATTCAGAGGATCCATTTCCTGGTCACCTGAGGGGAGGAACGTGAGATCCTCCGAGACAAATCTGACCGATGTGGGCGGAGTCCTGGGTGAGGTGAACCAACCAATAATCTCTTTCTTTCTATTTGTAGTCCACGGACGGGACGTCGGGAAGATCTCAGAGGAACGTCCAGCGTTGTCTCCAGAAGATGAGGACATCACACAGCGTAGTCC